CCTCGAGGTGAGCACGAAGGCCCCGAAGAACACGGCCGGGCCTGCGGGGCCCAGCGCCTCCACCTGGGCCGGCAGCTGGTCCAGCAGCCCCGAGGCGTAGGCCAGCAGCGACGCAGCCTCCCGCGGGCGCAACACATGTCCGCATCTGCGGCCTCGCGGGCCCGGCCCCTGGGCCGCGACGTCCCCGCGGATGCGGAGCGCTTTTCCGCGGATGCCCCCCAGAGATCCAGCGCATGGGAAAAATCAAAACGAAGGTGTTTCTCAGTTTTCAGCCTCGGGGCCCTCGGCAAGCCCCGTGACCGGCAATGAACGGCTCTGGATGAACACCGGTCCTGGGGAATGGGTCGAGACTTCTGGGGACCCCGTATTGAACAGATCACGACATCCGATCTCTGGGCCCGCGCGGAGCGGGCCCCCGTGCGACCGCGTACAGTGGAGGCCAGTCCGCAAGGAACCTTCCCCAAGGAGCCCAACCCTGAGACTCCAGGACGTCCATCGATCTTGGGCACAGGAACGCCATGCTTCCCATCGCAAAAAGCCATCGAAACTCAAGAAGCCCAGGGCACCCTGGAGGCAAGCAGGGTGCTTCTTGGCGTGGGTCCCAATTGTACTCACGGGATCGCGCCCGGAATCCAGACCTGCCAGGGCGTGGAGAAACGGCTCTCTTCGCCGCTCATCGTATTAGGTCGGGCATGTCCTCCTACAGGCGGATTTGTTTGAGACAAATCGTCACAACATGCACACAAACGCACAACAAAAAAACAACACATAAACCATTCAAAAAACGTCCCCTGATTATTTGTCGCCTAGTTCTGACTACGTAACTATTCCTCTTGTTAGAGGGTCAGGCCCCCCTTCGTCGTTTTAGGCCTCCTCCTGCAGCGGCAGCGCCCGCAGCGGCCCCCCGCCGGGGCCCCACCGCGGCCGCCGCGGGGGCCGCCCGGCCCCCGCGCCGGGCCGCGCGGCGGCCGCGCCGCGACGAGGCCGCCGCGCGCGGGCCCGCCGGCGGCGCCGCGGGGGGGGCGCCGAGGCCCGCGGGCGCCGCCGGCGCCGCGAGCGCCCGCGCCGCCGCGGCGAGCAGCGCCGCGGCGGGCGCGGCCGCGGCCGCGGGCCGCGAGGCGGCGCCGCGGCGGGCGCGCCGCGGGCGGCCGCGCCGCGGCGGGCGCGCCGCGGCGGGCGGCCGCTCCGGCATGGGGCCGCGGGCGTCGGGCGCGCGCGCGCGCCGCCCAAGGGCGGCCGGCCCTCCGCGGGGTCGCGGCTGCGGCGGCGGGCTCGGGCTGGAGGGCTGCGGCCCGTGGGACCGCACGAAGGCGACCCGGGATGAGGGACCGGACCCCGTGACACGGTCCAGTTCACGCTGCGAGAAGAGCACGACGTCGGTGGTCCCTTGCCCTGAGGTCTGGGCGTTGTGGTTTCTTCAACGCCGTGTGCTTCCCCCCATTTCGGGGCCCCAGGACCATCACAGGTCGATCCGGCTCGAAAACAATGCAGCACAGAAGCAGAACGACAACGTCTAGGGCTCCAATCGTGACCTTTCGCGATGCTGCAATGTTTTCGCAAAGTCGAATCTCAAGTACGGGTCGGGAAGCAGCAGGACGCGTCACAGCGTCGAGTCAACACGAGCGCATCCACACCGCTGTGCTGTAGTCACACATGGCATACATGCATGTCGGGGGGTCGAACATATCGAGATGCTGCGGATCCAGACGGACTCCGGAGATGCAAACTTGCACATGGTACGAAAAGATAAAAAATCTCAGCTACGTGTTACGCGCTCGGGCAATGTCGTGAATGTCAGCCGCTTGATCTAAAGGTTACTGGTTGGCGGACGTCTCGCACGCTGGCCTAAACATCGAGACTGAGGTTAATATTCATGCTTTCATGCGAAGTGGACATCGGTTGTAAAGATCAAACACACTTTGAATGTCCATGGCAGCGGCGGGTGCTGTCTGCCATCATTTGTTTGAGCAGGTGGACGTGTGCGAAATCTAAGTCGAAGGGGTGGCTAAAGGAGAAAGGGGCACGAGGAATGCGAAGGAGGAAAGGAGGGAGGGAAGGAGAGTGACGAGGCCACCAAGTTGATCGCGCCATGCTGGATGGACTGCTGGATTCTCTTGAAACGTCCCCAGACCCCAGGCTAACATGAGAAATCACAACGGCCCTTTGTGAAATGGCATTCGGCGAAACCCGTGACACCCCCGATCTCAACACACGCGACAGCGAACGAAACTGCACCCCATAGGGGCGGCGAACGTGAGCCAGGAAAAGACCAGTGGAGAAATATCAACGAGGCAGGCGAAAAAGCAAAGAACAGAGAGGCTTGGTCCATGACATTCTTCCCTGTGACTTCGCAAATCACGCTGATGACATCCTCGGGCCGATCTCGCTCTCCCGTCACCGGCGTGAGCGAATCTACCTCCTTGCTCAAACGCGTGTTCCTTTCATTACCTGGCGACATCTCAGCCACAGCGGTCCAGACGGTGCGTTCGAACAAGCGTCAACCATTCATGGCCTGCTTCTGACGCTGCCAAGGCCTGCTATCAGGAAGACCCTAGCCACCTCAGACGATCGTGCTGCCCGGTGGGCAAAGGGGACACGAGCCTGCAGGACCAGCGACTGGCAAAACACACGTGCTCCATCAAACCACGCCGGTGGAGACGACACGCGCGTGTCGGCGTCGTCGGTGTCTGTTCCCAGCCGTACCTCCTGGCACGTTAGGGCGTGGTAGACTGCCTACTAATAAGTGCTGTCTGTCAAGGCTTCTGCCTGTCTTCTATGGAGGGGCCCTGGGACACACAAAGAAATAGACAGGAATAACAGGATCCCCCATACTTCCACATATTTTCTGGGTTTTCGTCTTCCCCCCCCACTTCCCATGTTCCCATATTTTCTAAGGAATCGACTTGTGTCTGTATGTTCTTTCCCTCCTGATTATGCCTGGGCAGCCCGACGCCTACATCAGGCCCTCAAAGACGCTCGAAACCTTCCAAAACGACCAAGACATGCAACCAAGGCCGCCAAGATGGCCGTGCCTCTAAAGGCACCCAACGGCCCCAGGCCAAACGCCCAGGCGGCCAGGAGGCGCTGAAGGCCAAACGGGCGCCAAGTGGATTCAATGACAACAAAGAGATGGAGAAGGCCAAGAGACGCTGAGGAAACCCCGAATTGCTGAGGCGATCTTGCGTTCCCTGCCCCTTCCGCTCAAGATGATCCCATGAGGGCTGCGGAGCCAAAGAGAAGCCAAAAGAGCCCCACGGGAGCCTCAGGAGGCTCGCCAGACGGCCCAACAGAGCACGAAGAGGGCTCCAAGACTGCCCAAGATGGCCCAGGACAGCTGGAGAGGACCCCGAGACGGCACCGCAAGAGCCCGCCAATGGAGCCCCCCGAGGCAGCCCCGAGAGGGCCCCTCGATTGCCGCGAAGGGCCCCCGAAGGCCCGCGGGAGTTCCAGGAGGGCCCCCCCGACGCCCCTCGGGGTCCAAGACGGGTCCAAGGCAGCCCCTGGCCATCGCTCGGACGTCCGTTCCCTGTGTTTTTTGTTCGGTTTCGTGCGTGTTTTTTTCGCCAAATGATCAAGGATGCTCCTCGATGGCCCTCGCCGAAGGAAAAATGCACACGACCGAGCGATGCCAAGGCCCAGGCAACCGCCTTGAACCCATCAAGACATAGAGACGAGAAGAAGCAAACGTTACCACCGTCTGGGGAATGCTCGAAGTACCGTAGCATGGAGGTGTTGCGCAGGCCCAGTTGCGGACCTTGCCGCAGGCAACTGAAGAACAGGTCTAAGAGGGCTCGTGCGCGCCATGGTAGTTGAAAAACATTCCTCCTGCACCGTCGTCTCCGCGCCACGAAGAAGAGTCGTGCGTCGCATCCCGTTGCCAACGCGGGCTATGCTGAGATGAAGTCAGCGCCGCAAAAAGAGGCCTCCCAAGAAAACGCCTTGCGCCCGAAACCACCATGGACGAATGAAACACTCCGTCCAAACCAGTACCCGGCGGTATACAAGGCTCGCTCGTAGAGCCCGCATATGCGATTGCAGACAATCATACGCAATCCAATGTCAAGAACAAGCCAAACACCAGTATGGCACAATCGAAAACTCACAACGGTAACTAACATGTGCCAATGGAGAGACACATACATACATATACACGTACATATGTAAACATATATGCTAACCAACACAACAAACTGAAGCCATAACCAAAACGATCGGAGACATAAACCTGTATAGACAAGGAACCATAGTCATACGAGAGAGAGAGAGACGGAGAGCGAGAAAGTGAGAGAGATGGAAAACACATATAGAGACACATAACATGAGAAACGGCGAGAGAGAAAGAACAAACGGCAGACGGCGTTTGTAAGAAGTAGACTAAACAACACTGGGATGCGATGTGCAGTTTGGCCGCATGCTGGGTCCCTGTGGGTGACAGTGACATCCGAGGCGCAGTTGAAGACCTCCCTTGAAGCAGCCTGCCGAAAGGCAGCGACGAGCAGGTCAGGAACGGCACTGCTGCCCAGGTAAACATATTGGCTCAGAACAGTTCTACATGATGCAAGCGCCACTAGGCAACCACATGTATGCACTACCACTGCAGGTCAGATGAAAAACAGGCTGTGGCTCAGAATTGTAAAGGACATCTGCAGCCAGGCAAACCGCAGCGGGGGTGTCCGATGATGCTCCAGCGTCGACTGGGCCCGCAGGGGTAGAGTTCGCAAGCGGCCGCAGGACGCCCTCACTGCACGCACATTTTCTCCCCCTCTTCCTCTCCCCTTCCGCGCCTCATCCGCACGAGGCGCTCAAGACAGAAGAGAGGAGCGGGAGCATCGGAGTGGTGGGTGCAAGAAGGCCCTCCTGCGACGTCGGGCCAGGAAGCCCGCCTTGCATCGTCGGGCTCGCCCAGCACGGCTCGCCAGCGCCGCCTGCCTGCCTTGCCACAGTGCAGGGCTCGCCTGCCCTGCCCGGCCGGGCACGCCTGGCCCGGCCCGGCGTGCCCACCGCGCCGATCTAGATCTGGCTGGACCCCGTGCCAGGCCTGCCTGCAGTGCCCAGTCAGACTGGCCCTGCACACAAACGGCACTCGACCCCGCCAGCCCGAAGGCCAACGCCTGGCACGCCTCTGCCTCTGAGGTGACCCTGCATCCAAGGTGCTGGCAAATCTGAGCCGGAAGCTCACACCTCGGCAACCCCACGACAGATGGGCAAGCAAAGTTCGTTCGCTCGAAGTTGACCTCGCTCGTCATCCCGCCATTCCGCATCAACCAAAATTCCACAAATGGCTGATCGAACCCAAGCCGATAACCTGAGAGCCTTTTTTGGGGTCCTGCCAGCAATTTCCTGAACGCGGCCATTCTCCACATCCAACAGCAATACATACGATACAGCAGTGACGGATCGCATCCCAGGCGCATCTTCGCACATGCACTCTTACCGCTCAATGCGGAAGGCCGCGCTTCCCAGACGGGTCCACGACAACGGGTCAGAGGCACTTGTGTGCCCTCGTCGAAGTGAGGCCTCTGTTCATGGAAGATTTCGCCCAGAGTCACTTGACCAGTCTGGACAGAAAGACGAGTTGGCAACTTTGACGCTGGCCAAACTGATGCAGCAACGAAGGATAGGCAACCAGGGAGGGGTAGCACAACAGCATCACCCAGGAATCCAATGCTCAATCTCAATACAAGCAGTAAGACGCCGCCTGCTCATTGCCAATAACAGAGGCCTGCCCCCACTCACTCTAAGCACAACGCATGTACGTCAAACTACACGATCATATTCCAGACTGGAATCACACATTCCAAACTGACATCATAACGGATTGAACCAACATTCCCATGCAAGTTGGGTTACCGGAGCAGTAGGAGAAAGATAACGCAAGGTCGAAAAGCTCCTGACCACGATAGCAACGCAACGCACACTTGCATGCACACGTTCGCACGCATCCACACTGACCGGCCAACCGTTAAACTACTGAGAAGTATGCAACCAGATATTCGCTTGGCCTGCCATGACGAAACCACGAAAGCGCTAGATGACTTGAGGTGTGAAGCATACGATTCAAGTATTGGGTAAAACGCACGCGCGGGAGGACCACGAAACAAGGAAGGCCACGAAGGGCCGTCACACGGGACGGGCTACGGGCCACAATCGGCGGCGAACGAGAAGGGGAAAGGAGGAGGAGACGGCCTCCTCAGGAGGCGACGGGACTTCTCAGAAGCCCTGGCGCCCTCTGAAAAGTCTCCTGCGTCTTCGGGGGAGGCTGAGAAAACTCCCCAGAAGGCTGGGGGAGTTCCGACCTTTGGCGCGCGGTCGCCAAATCAATGGATCGGGGGAGGTGCCCTCCCCCCAAAGCGGCGGTGCCGCCTTGCTCGGCGGCGGACATGCAAGATTTCACATGGAAACGAGACCCGTCGCTAATCCGCGCCCCCATTGACCCTTTGTTTGCGATCGCCTGAAGAAGGCCTTCTCCTTCTCGTTTCTTCCCCCCTCGCTCGCCGCCGACACACGTGGCGCCCAACACCTCCATGAGGGCCCTGGGAATGTCTCCCCAGCCTCGCACCCCGCACGAGGGGCCAAACTGGCGGGTGCCTGGGGGTGGACGACCGCGGGCAAGGACAGGGGCACAACAGCTGCACCCACATAAGACCTCCGCGCAGATTGCTTGGATCTGCGATGGATCCCCCCACTTAATGTAGTATGAAAACAGTAAAACAAATCTGGGGGGACAGTTAAAGAAATAAGTATTCGCGGCGCTATAAAAACTGTGCAAATAGAAAGCAAACAGAAGGCGGGGCAAACCGGATTGCTGGGGACGTCCCCGCGACCGCCCTGGCACTCCGCGTCCAGGGGCAGCTTCTTTCGCGGGGCTCGCGCGGGGGGGGGGTCTTTAGAGACCCCCCGCGTCAACGACGATCGGCGCCGCCACCCGGCGCGTCAACGACGATCGTCGCCGACGCTCGGCACCGACACTCGGCACTGACACCCGGCGCCGACACTCAGCACCGACACTCGGCGCGCGCACCCACCATGAGTGCACTTTCAACCCTATCGCCTCGCCAGGGCGCACTCACCAGAGTGCACTCTGGTGAGTGCACTTTGGGCATCCTAGAAAGGGGATGCCCAGAGTGCAATGACCCGCGCATGGCGACTTTCCCACCGCGAGCAATACAAAAACAGCCACACGCGCGACCCCGCACGCTGTAGGTTGCACAGGTAAACGAAAACGTTAAAACCGCACTCCAACTGGGAAACTAAATCGGCAAAATATAGAAAAGGCGTGATTGAGTTCGCAGACCAGCACGGCGACATTCTTATCGCGGACAAATATATATTTTTTTTTTTATTTTTAAAAAAAAAAAAAAAAAAAAAAAAAAAAAAAAAAAAAAAAAAAAAAAAAAAAAAAAAAAAAAACACGCCACGCGGACGCGCGCGTCGGCGCATTGTGGGCTGCACCAATGGACGAAAACGTCAAGACCGCATGTTACGTGGGAAATCCCATCGGCGACCGCTAAGGGTTCACTTCTAGTTCCCAGGCCAGCATGGCGGCTTTCCTATTGCGGGCGACGCAGAAACCGCCACGCGCGCCCGCGCGCGCGCTGGCGCACTGTAGGCTATACGAGCACGTAAAAAACCAAATGTTAAGCTTGGAGCTCCATTCAGCCAGCGCTAAGGGTTCACTTTAGTTCCCAGGCCCGCATGGCGTCTTTCCTATTGCTGACAATTCGGAAACCGCCACGCGCGCGTGTCGGCGCATTGTAGACTGCACTAATAGACGAAAGCGTAAATACCGCATGTGATGTTCGAAATTATACTGGCAAGCGCTTAGGGTTCACGTTAGTTCCAAGGCCAGCGAGGAGACGTTCCTATTGCGGACAAAACAGAAACCACCACGCGAACGAGCGCGCCGCGTCGGCGCATTGTAGGATGCACCAATGGACGAAGACAGAAAGGAAAAATCGCATGTTAAGTGGGAAGTCACATCGGCAACGGCTGCGGGTTCACGACGCGCGCGCGCGCGCGGGCGCACTGGCGCATTGCAGGCCGCGCCGATAGGAACGTTTTCAAGACCGTATGCTAAGTTGGAACACAGAGGCAACCGCTGCGGGTTTACTTGAGTTCGCAGGCCAACATTGTGTCTTTCCGATTGAGGGCCGCCGAAATGGGGTTCCCGTGGCCACTGGGGCCTTCGGTGGGGTTCCCTGTGGGGCCACGAAACGTGTGAGGGGTGTGCCGACATGGGTGCGGTGAGCGCATGTGAGCGCAGCCACTGGGGCCTTCGGTAGAGGGTGGAGCTCCCTGTGGGGCCACGAAACGTGTGAGGGGTGTGCCGAAATGGGTGCGGTGGGCGCATGCGAACGCAGCCACTGGGGCCTTCGGTGGGGCTCCCTGTGGGGCCACGAAACGTAAGACGGGTCTGCCGAAATGGGTGCGGTGGGCGCGTGCGAACGCAGCCACTGGGGCCTTCGGTAGGGCTCCCTGTGGGGCCACGAAACGAGTGAGGGTCTGCCGAAATGGGTGCGGTGGGCGCATGCGAACGCAGCCACGGGGGCCTTCGGTGGAGCTCCCTGTGGAGCCACGAAACGTGTGAGGGGTGTGCCGAAATGGGTGCGGTGGGCGCATGCGAACGCAGCCACTGGGGGTTTCGGTGGAGCTCCCTGTGGGGCCACGAAACGTGTAAGGAGTGTGCCGAAATGGGTGCGGTGGGCGCATGCGAACGCAGCCACTGGGGCCTTCGGTGGAGCTCCCTGTGGGGCCACGAAACGTATGAGGGGTGTACCGACGCGGTGGGCGCATGTGAAAGCAACCACTGGGGCCTTCGGTGGGGTTCCCAGTAGGGCCACGAAACTTGTGAGGGGTCTATCGAGATGGGTGCGGTGGGCGCATGCGAACGCAGCCATTGGGGCCTTCGGTAGGGCTCCCTGTGGGGCCACGAAACGTGTGACGGGTCTGCCGAAATGGGTGCGGTGGGCGCATGCGAACGCAACCACTGGGGCCTTCGGTGGAGCTCCCTGTGGGGCCACGAACCGTGTGAGGGGTGTGCCGAACTCATGATGATGGTGATGATGATGATGATGATGATGATGATGATGATGATGATGATGATGATGATGATGATGATGATGATGATGATGATGATGATGATGACGATGGTGACGATGGTGACGGTGATGCTGATGATGGGGAGAGCAAGGGGGGGCGGAGGGAGGAAGGACGCGGGCGCTGTTCAAAACGAGGACTCAACACCACAAGATGGTTGGGAATAATTATCCGCCGGCGGATCAATGACACTCGAGATCGGGGGAAGGGGTGGGGGGGTCATCATTTGTTTAACAAGTTTAGGACATTACCCATCTGTCGGAAGAGGTAGGTCGAAACATAAAGTAGGAAGGCGGATCAAGTAGACTGGGCTCGGGCCATCCTAAAGGGTAACAACACGAAGCAAACGCACATCGATTATTGAAGTAGGAAGGCGCTTGGAGTAGGCTGGGTTCTGGGAATCCAGAATGCCTACTTTCAACGACCGATGGGTACAGGCGCCAGGGGCCCAGCGCAGATCCGAGAAACCCGTGCGAACCTCCAGAAAATAATGTGTACGCCGTCTGCGGTTCCTGGAGTGAAGAACCGAATCGCCGTCATCCTTTCCCTGCCCTCTGCCCCTGCGCTCTCGTTCTGTCCCGGCCTCCTTCTTGCTTTCCGTCCACAGATCTTCATGGCCTTCACCCCGCGAACTCAATCAAACCATGGCCGCCCGCCCCAAAACGATACCACATCGCGCAGCATGATTCAAGTCCAGTATTGGCGACGATTCCCTGAGCCTCGACGAAGTTCGCCAGACCCTTGTGGATCGCCAGAAGGACTTCTGAAGACACTCTCCTCGAACATGGGGCATAGAAGCGGGTAGTTCCCTGGATGCCCTGAGGAAGGCCCCAGCGAGTCTCAACAGGCGTCAAGCTGACGCCCCCGGAGGGCGCCAAACCCACGGATCGGGGAAGGTGCCCCCCGAAACATGACAGATGTTGATACCGCTACTCCCTGGGCCTCTCCCAGGGCGCGTTCTGACCAGGATTTCGACGCGAATCCAGTTGTGGCGACGAGGGCCACCCAGGAGGCCCAAAACGGAGAAAACGAGACAAGAGTAATTGGCGGTATCGGTACCTCTTCCCACCCGGAGTGCCCCCCCCACGGGCGCTGTCCCGAAAGGCCCCTTCTCCGACCTCGGACCTCGCACTGCAGAATGCCCTGCACGAGGCAACAACGCCTCAGGCTACAGTGGGTGCCCGACAACAAGAAATCTTCCACAACAAACCCAACCCTACAACCCCAGGACGGCCATTGATTGGTGTGGGAGCGTCACGCTTTCCATAGCAAAACCATCGAAACCCAAGGAACCCAGGGCAGCCTGGAGGCAAGCAGGGTGTTTCTTGGCATGGGCCTCCTCTGTAATCACAGGCCCCGATGCCCCGCGGGCCGCGTCGCGGGAGGTCAGGCCCGGTCCACCCCCCCCTCGGCGCCATCATGCCGGCAACGTCCTTTGCGTTCGTCAGGGTGGTCTTCAGGCTGCCGTCCTCGCTGCAGGTCTCTGGCCATCGTTCGGACGTCCATTCCCTGTGCTTTTTTCGGTCTCGTGCGTGGCTTTTTCGCCAAATGATCAAGGATGCTCCTCGATGGTCCGCGCCGAAGGAAAAATGCACACGTCCGAGCGACGCCAAGCGTCTGGCCGACGCCCTTGGGGGGCCCCATGGGCCGCGCGGGGACGCGCGGCGCAGCGGCCTCGAAGCCCCGAGGGGCCCCACCGCGCGGGCCGCCGCCGCACGGCGCGGGGGCCTCGGCGGCCTCCGCCGCCATGCGGCATCCTCTCGGAGCGGGCCGAGTCCCAGAGCCGTGCGGCGGCCGCGAAGCCCCCGGACTCGCCACGCGGTGTGGTCACCACGCCGCTCGGGGGACCCCGGAGACCGGGGGCGCGAGGGGGGGAAGTGACCCGGAGTGCAAGGAGTCGGGGATGGACAGAATCCCCTTTAGCAAAACGCGGTTTGGTGAGAACGACCTCGGGCCAACCCTGGCGGGCGCAAGCCTGGAACACGTCGGCCGCGGCGCCCTCTCGAGAACCGAAAACGGACAATTCCCGATTCGACGTGTCGGGGGCAGGGGTCTGTCCTCCCCCGAACGAAGGGGAAGCTCGAAGAGCGGGGCGAGGGCAAGAGAATCCAGAACGTGGACTCGCCCGCCGCCAGAATGGGAGGTCCGGAAACAGGGACGGACGGAACGCAGCCGCCCACCTCGAGGCTGCCGTCCTCGCTGCAGCTGGGGGGTGGGGGCGGCGGGAGGGAAACGGACGACCCAGACCTGCCTGCGGCGTGGGAAAAAAAAACACAACGAGCACGACGGGAGGCGTTGGACGCTTCGCGGCCTCGGGAGGGCCCTCGCCGAACCCCGGGGCCGTCCGAAGATAGCTCGGGACGAGAGAACGGCCCTATAGGGGAAAGGATCGGGGTGGCACTTCCAGTGACCCTGCTGGGGGAGGAGAGGAGGCGAGCGGACGGAGAGCGGGGAGGGACGAGGGCGATGGGAAGGGGGATGGAAGGAAGAGGGCGATTGGGGGACGAGGGGTATGGGATGAGCGGGGAGGGACGAGAGCGACGGGAGGGACGAGGGCGATGGGGATGGAGGGCAGGGAGGGACCCCGAGGATGGCGATGGGGCGCGCGCAGCGAGAGAGCGCCAGAGGTGCCCCTTAGCCCCCGCCCCCACCTGGCGCAAATCGCGAGAGCCTGCGACCTTTATCTCTTTCTCTCTTTCTCTCTCTCTCTCTCTCTCTCTCTCTCTCTCTTTGCGCGCGCGCCATCTTCGATCGCCAACCCCCCCCGCCGTGGCGCCTGAGGGGTAACGGCGGGGGGGGGCCAACGAATGCGAGTCCACGAATTATATCTATACACCAATATATATCAATGTATATCAATAGATATATATATATATATATATATAGATATATAATGAGTTGTTGTATTCCATTTCTTAAACAAAGCCAAAAAAACTCTGGGGCCAAGGTTGAGGCAGGTCTGGAGCCGCGCTTCTCGACAGCATACGAACCGCAGCAGGCCGCAACAAAAACTGCCACGCCGCAGACCCGCAGCCGGCGCAGCCTCGGGCGATGCATCCGGCAGTCTTCGCCGCAGGGAGCGCTGCTCCCCCCGATAAAACAAGGCTAGGACCGGGATAAATCGAAAGAGCCGGAAGAGCGGCGCTCTCTGGCCTCCCGGAGCCCTGGCCCAGAGCCCGCCTGGAGTTTGGGCGCGAGGTTAATGAGGTAAAACAGGGCCAGGATCGGGATAAATCGCCCCAAAGCGTTCCGGAGCGCTCTCAGAGCGTTCCGGAACGCTCTGGAGCGGCCGCGGCGCCCAATACGTCCTCCAAACCCGCCGATTCTCAGAGATTTCGAGTTATCCCGATCCGATTTTGTCCCGATCTTCGCGTCGTTTTACCCCACCCAAACCGCACGGGGGGCGTGCGCTGACGCGCTGGAGCCGGGCGCGGAGCCACCGATGGACGGGCGTGGGGCCCGCGCCGGTAGCGAGACCGGGCGCGGGGTCTCGCTATCGTCGGGGGGCCCGTCGACGTCGTCGTCGTCATCGTCGCCGCCGTCGTCGTCGTCGTCGTCGTCGTCGTCGTCGTCGTCGTCGCGGTCGCCCAGGACCCGATTGGCGACGAACGGGCAGGGGCCGATGTCCCCCCCCTCCCCTCCCCTGGGGCGGACGCCTCCCCCTCCCCGACGCTGCCGAAGGGGGCGCGAGCCGGGAGCGACGCCCTCTGGCCTCCCGGAGCCCTGGTAAAACGACGCGAAGATCGGGACAAAATCGGATCGGGATAACTCGAAATCTCTGAGAATCGGCGGGTTTGGAGGACGTATTGGGCGCCGCGGCCGCTTCAGAGCGTCCCGGAACGCTCTGAGAGCGCTCCATAACGCTCTGGAGCGATTTATCCCGATCCTAGCCCTGTTTTACTAGCCTCCCGGAGCCCTGGCGCAGAGCCCGCCTGGAGCTGGGCGCGAGTTTCATGGGGGCGCGAGAAAGGAGGGGGAAGGGAGGCGCCTTTTTTCGGGCCCTGGAAGCTCCCTTCTACGAAGGGCTCCTTTTCGGCAGTCCTCGCTCCCCCCCCCTTTATCGCCCCCCCATGACACGGCCATGTATGAAGGGGCCCTAGGACACACAAATAAATAAACACAAATAAAAAGATGCCCCATATTTTCCCATATTTTCTGGGTTTTTTTGTCTTCCCGCCCACTTCCCATATTTTCCCATACTTTCTGGGGAATCGACGATGATTTGTGTCTGTGTGTTTTTTCCCCCTCCTGAAGGTAAGGGAAACGCACGTCGCGCGCGCAGGAGTCCCGGACCGGGGGGGCGGGTTGGCCGACCGCGCGCAGGACTGCCTGCGACGCGCTCGCGCGCTCGCGCCGCGCCCCGGCAAGAACCGCGACGGTGGGGGTCGGAGCCGTCGAAATGCGACTCGTGAGGAAAAGCGAGCCCTGAAAGAAGGGTCGGGACTTGCGGGGGCCCCGATCCGCAGGAAACGAGACGCAGCGTCCAAGGGCGCGCCCCTCCCCCCCCCCCCCCCCGAAACGCGCGACGACATTCTGCGAACGCGAAGAACGCCAGAGGGTGCCCTCCCCGAACAGATCTCGACCTCACACCTCCGCCCGACAGCATGACCTTTGGTGCGCGCGCGGCTTCAGGCGGGGCGAGGGGGGGCCGAGCCCCACCTCGCGGGCCAGGGGGAAGAGGAGGAGGAGTAGGAGGAGGAGGAGGAGGGAGGAGGAAGGAGGAGGATGAAGATGATGATGAGGAAGAGGGAGGAGAAGGGAGGAGGAGGAGGAGGAGGAGGAGGAGGAGGAGGAGGAGGAGGAAAACGAGGAGGAGGGCGCTGAGGGTGCTGACGAGGCCGGGCCTCCTCCGCAGACCTACTCGGCGCGCGGGCGCCGAGCCCGCCCCGCCCCCGGGGAGGGCCGCAGCTCCTCCGAGGGATCCTGCGCGACGGACGGACGGCCCCCGAAGGGGCCCAACAACAAAAGAGGCGGATCCATAGGGGGAAAGCAAACCTACCTCGCTTTTGACCACCCTCGCTTCCAAGTTTCCAAGAGATACCAAGCGATGCCAAACTGCGGCCTGTACTGGTCGGGCCGCTTGACGAGGAGGCGCATGGTATGGCTTGGTTTTGCCCGGAAGCGAAAGCGGGGTAGGTAATTCACGCTCTGAATCCACCGGTGGCGACAGGCAGCCCCAGCCACCCAGAGGACCCCTCGACGAATCAACCTCGCAGGCTTCGAACGCCAACCCGAGGCCTTCCGGCGCTGCCGGGCCCGGGCGGCATGCGCCGCCCGGGCACCGGCCCCGTGCGGCGTGCGCCACGCGTCTGGGCTACCAGGGCACGATGAAGTTGAGCTCCAGCTTCGCCTCCGAAATCTTCTTCAAAAGCGCCAGAGCCCGTTCGTCGAAACCGAAGCCCTTGTCATCGAAAAACTTCTTCACCCCGACCTTGCACGCGAATTCCGACTGGCCCTCTCACCATGACAAATGTGCCCCCCTTCCTTTAGGAGGGCCTTGACCATCTCAACTCGTGAGGTTGGGCTTAACGATGTCCTTGAAGGGGCCCCAGGACACACAAATAAATACACACAAATAACCAGACTCCCCATATTTCCCCATATGTTCTGGGTTTTTGTCCTCCGCCCCATTTCCCGTATTTTCCCATATTTTCTGGGGGATCGACGATTAATTGTGCCTGTGTTTCTTTCCCTCCTGAGTTCTGTGGTATAGTCGAAGCCAATCTGGCGCCAGTCTGGCAGGCCCAGTCTGGCAAACGGGGGCCATCTGGCGAGGGCGCCAGCGCGAATCCAGTCCGGCGAAGAACCCAAATCCTCCGATATGGCCAGGCCAGATTGGCCCTTGGGGCCCAATCCAGTCTGGCAGCCTGGCCTTCGACCCACCGCGGCACCCGAAGGGGACACGGAGAGCCACCCTCTGGCCAGGCCCTGCCCGCCTCCCGGCGGCAGTGGCCCGCGGCGCGGCGGCGTGGCTCCGAAGAGCGCGCCGCCCGTCTGCCCCCCACTCCCGGGGGCGGAGCCGCGGGAGCCCAAATGGCTTGAGCCAAGAGGGCAACGGAAGACGAGGAGGAGGAGGAGGAGGAGGAGGAGGAGGAGGAAGAGTGGGAGGGAGGAGGAGGAGGAGGAAGAGGAGGAGGAGGAGAGGAGGAGGGGGAGGAGGAGGAGGAGGACAACGAGGAGGAGGAGGAGGAGGAGGGGGGAGGAGGAGGAGGAGGAGGAGGAGGAGGAGGAGGAGGAGGAGGGAGGAGGAAGACGAGGAGGAGGAGGAAGAGCGGGAGGGGCCCGTGGGCCTGCGCCAAGGCAGAGGCCACTCTGGCGAGGGCTCACCCCTGCGCGTCGCCGATGGAGTCCATGGGAACTGCGGTGCGCTTCCTGACCCGCCCCAGCAAGCTTGCGCTGCATAGAAAGGGTTTCTCAATAATCGGGAGCGGCCATGAGGGGGGTGCCCAAAGGGGGGGGGGGCAAATCATGACCGGCGGCATGTGCGCGGCCCAGCGGGGGGGCCAGGGACGTAATAAAATCAGAAGAGGCGCCATGAAATCTGGGGAAATATCATGACCCCCGCCATGATATCCACCCCCCCCTAGTCATCACCCCCCTCTTTTCCGCCCCCGAAATAAGCGTCGGGGGGTACCCCCCCGACGAAGGTCAACCTCGCCTCGTCGTCGCGCCGCGACGGGGGCCGGAGCGCCTTCGGCGCGCGGTGGCTGGCCGCGAGGGGGCCGAGGTGGCGCTGTCGGCGGGGGTGGCGCCACCCCCGCCGCTTAGGAAGAAACTTGGAGCATCCAGCGGGCCCCAGACTCGCGTCGAGGCCACCTCGAGCATCGGATCCGCGTCGAGTGAAAAAGAGGACCGGAGAACTCAAGACAGGCAAGCCAGCCTCCCCCCCCCGATGATGAAACGCAGCGGCGCATCTGCTCGGGAGCGGCCAAGAGGGGGGTGTCCATGGGTGCAAATCATGACCGGCGGCATGTGCGCGGCCCAGCGGGGGGGCCAGGGACGTAATGAATAAGAAGAGGCGCCATGAAATCTGGGGAAATATCATGGCCCACGCCATGATATCCACCCTCCCCTAGTCATCACCCCCCTCTTTTCCGCTCCTGATCTGCGGCAGAAGACGCAGCGCCCCACGGTGCTCTCAATGGCGCGGCGCCGGGCCTGCGGCGAGGGCCGGAGGCGCGCACCACGCGCCGTCGGGGGCGCACGGCACCTCGCCTCGTCACACGCGGGGGGGGGGGGGCCGGTGGCGGCGCAGGGCGGGGGGCGCGTCCTTGGGCAGGGGTATCGGCACGTCGCCAAGGATGCGGTGCAGGAACCTCGGCGGCCCCCCCCCCCGAGGAGGAGGAGGCGGAGGAGAAGGAGGAGGATGGGGAGGAGGAGAGGGAGGGAGAGGAGGAGGAGGAGGAGGAGGCGGAGGAGGAGGAGGAGGAGGAGGAGGCGGAGGAGAAGGAGGAGGAGGAGGAGGAGAGCGAAGGAGCAGGAGGAGGAGGAGGAGGAGCAGAAGGAGGAGGAGGAGGAGGAAAGGAGGAGGAAAGGAGGAGGAAAGGAGGAGGAGGAGGAGGAGAAAGAGGAGGAGAAAGAAAGCGAGGAGGAGCAGGGGGAACCGCTTCTCGCATCGAGGCGAGCACGGCGGGAAAGGATTTTGGAGGTGTTCGGCCCGTGGGGGGGGGCCCGGGCCGGGCCTCGGGGCCTCGGGGAGGGGTCCGGGCCTCTGGGGGTTGGCCCTGACGGCCAAAGCACGGCGCCGGCATGCAAGCCGAGGTTCTAAACCTCGGCTTGGCGTGGAGAGAAGGGGTCCCGAGGGAAACGGGTCCTGGACACCGGGGGCCTTCCACAGGGCCAGCTCTTCATCCCGAGACGTCTTCGAACAGTCCCAGGGCCTGTTGATGGCAACGAAGACAATGGCCGAAAACCTCGGGATCCTATTCCCTCATCGCTTCGTGGCGATGTCAGCGGCGGCGGGTCAGATGGGCCAGCCGGGCATCCTGCGAAATCGGCGGGCCCGTCAGAGAGGATCGCTCCTCTGAGACGTCGTGCTCTGGCGCGGCCGGCCCCCCTGTTCCCGACCTTTTTTGTCGTGGCTGAAGCCTGGTGCTACGACATCCGCCGAATGAGTTCCCTCGACGCCGATTGCTCTACCAATTTCTATATATATATATATATATATGTTGTCATCGGACCTATACATTCTAATATGATCATAAGTCTACATATATATATATATATAGGTGTTCCCACCGCGACGATGCCAGTCGCTCCAAAGCTCTGTAAAATACCTGATCGGGAGTCGCTAGATGAAGGTCAGGCGCAGCGACACAGAAACTCCTGCCAGCGAGGATCATGGCCAGAATGCCAATTCCAAAAAAAGGCAGGGGGCGGCGGTGAGACTCGCTGGAGGCGCCTTCGCGAAGATGCGCACACCACCGCGAGACGTCTCTGAAGACGAGGCCCGAGGTGCCTCCTGGTGCAGCCCCTCTTGCGGCGTGCCGCCTTCTGCGCACGGCCTCTCTCAGATTCACCACGCCAGCAGTGACATATTCTGTCCAAAGGCTAACAGGCATCCGCGCCGGCGCAAGCACGACCAGAGGCCGACCACCCACCGGCGCGCCTCCCAGTGAAGCAATCGACGTTCCGTCCATGCACCTGCTCACGACCTGCTCACGATCGACGTTCCGTCAACGCACCTGCTCACGAGAAGAATGCAGGGGCCTTGAAGGCCACGTCGGCACTCTGCGAGCGGGGCGCGGCCAGCGAAAGCGGCCCAGGATGGGCCGAAGGGGGATGATGCAAGGCGGGTCGACTGCAGCCCCACCAGGGCCAGAGTGGGAGCGTGGATTGAGATCAGGCCTGTGGAGACTAAGTCTTACGTCCATGTCCATGTGAATAGATGCTCGTTCTGGGGACCGCCCTGAAGCCACTCGCCACTCTCATTCGTCGGTGCTGCGCCGAGCGTCCGTCGCGCCAAGTCACAATTGAGTCGAACTTGAGTAGAATCAGAGCCGAGCTAGAGCCGAACCAGAATCGAACTGGAACCGAACACGTCCGCCGGGTGGGCCCCAGGAAGGCCCCCCAGCACGAGCATCTCACTGCGGGGCTGTCGCCGATCACGCGACGCGGGCGACGGAGCCAGTCGATGTACTCGCGCTTGTTCGTCTTCGGGCCGTAGATGTACTGCGGCCGGAAGGCGGTGAGCGGCAGGCCTGGGGCGCGGGCGCTGCGCCCGGGTGCCCCCACCGACACGTCCCCGCGCGCAGCAGTACGGGCACCGTGCCGCCGGAAGGAGCGCAAAAGGAACGACGATCAAAAACAGGTCTTAAGCGAGATGGCGCAGCAACCTTACGCCGCAGCTGACGCGGGCAGCCCAGCGCGGCACGCCACTGTGGAGACAAGGGCGCTTACGCGCGCCCTATATATATATATATATATATATAAAAAAAAAAAAAAAAAAAAAAAAAAATGCCTCCAAATTCGGAACATGCGCAGCCAACCCGATGCGGCCCCCCCCACCATCCCTTTCAAAAAACAATAAAGAGTACACTTGGCGGCGGCGGCGGCTGCGGCGGCGGCGGCGGGCGGCGGCGGCGGCTGCGGCGGCGGCGGCGGGCGGGCGGCGGCGGCGGCGGCGGCGGCGGCGGCGGCGCGGCAGCCGCAGCGGCTGCGGCTGCGGTTAGGCAGCGGGGGCGCGGCGGCGGCGGCGGCGGCGGCGGCGGCGGCGGCAGCGGCGGCGCGGCGGCGGCGGCGGCGGCGGCGGCGGTGGCGGCAGCGGCTACGGCTGCGGCGGCGGTTAGGCAGGGCGGCGGCCGGCGGCGGCGGCGGCGGCGGGCAGCGGCGGGGGCGGCGGCGGCGGCGGCGGCGGCGGCGGCGGCGGCGGCGGCGGCGGATTGGCCTCCAGTAGCTGCCCATCCAAAGACGACTGCTGAGTATGCTGAAGCTCGGGCCAGACTCGGGTGCTACGTATGTGTTGGGAGGGCGGGTGGGAGTGAGCGAGACGGCTTGCGGGCGGGGAGGGGGTGACTTGACCCCTCCCCCTATCCCCTCCCCCTGGGTCTGGACGGGGGCGTTTCGCGAGGCGTTGGGAGCATCCAAGACGACCTCGGCGAGAAGGCCCGAATCATTGATCTCACGCATAGTAATGGCCACATGTTGGCATCCGGGCGGGGGAACGCTAACGTGGGACCCCCCCTTCCTTGATCATGCTCACCCAAGAGGGTCCCCAAAGGCGCCTAGGAGGCCCCAAGAGGCCCCCAAGATGCCCCCAAGAGGCTCCCAAGGTACCCCCAGAAGGCTCCAAGAGGCTCCCCCGAGGCCATCAAGACGCTTCAAGAGGCACATGGGACCGCCAAGAGGTCTCCCATACGCCCGGACAGGCCTACAAGAAGCTTTCTAAAGACATCCGAAGAGACTCTGAGGGGCATCCATAAAGGCCTCTGGCCTTTCTGGTCGCCCTCCTTCTCCTCCTCCTCCTCCTCCTCCTCCTCCTCCTCCTCCTCCTCCTCTTCCTCCTCGTCCTCCTCGTTTTCCTCCTCCTCCTCCTCCTCCTCCTCCTCCTGCTCCTCCTTCTCCTACTGATCCACAGATTCCTCCTCTTTCCTCCTCCCTCCTCCCCCCTCCCCCTCTTCCTACTCCTCCTCCTCATCATGTTCCTCCTCCGATTCCTTCTCCATCCTTGGGGCACGACGTCTCACCCAGCCCTTGATTCCATTACATGCTCCACATCCCTGATCAGGACAACTCGTATGGGTTCTGGATGGGCTTGTAGGGTTTAACGCGAAGCGTGTCTAATTATCAACAGCTGACAAACCCTGCATCGAACTCAATGCCATGGCTGCTGCGATCAGATGGGCGAGAAAACCTCGAAGCCGAACCGATGCACCGGCTACCCAGCTGCAACGCACTGTGCCACGGCAGGGGGATAGCTGGACCAAGCCAAATCGCAGAGCGCGGGAAAATGAGAACGATCCACCAAATGTTTTAGCGGAAACTCCAATCGGATCCAACATCAGCCCTGATGGTGGTCCATCACTGCACCACCGAGAACCGGGACCCGCCGAACCGACCAACTCGACAAGTGACGCCAGCCCGCCTTGCGGTCAATACCCTCGAGCCTGAGATGATCCCATTCGCTGCTGTTGGGTGTTGTGGCTGAAATGGATGCAGATGGATATGAAAGAAGAACATCAAGTCGACAAATTTGGGCTCGAACCCTCTTGGCCTAGTGCCTTGGCCGCGTTCTCGTTGGCAAGCTGCTTGTTGTCTGGCTTCACCGGGTTCGACTCGCTCATTGCGTAGTCGCCGACCACCTGCGGGCCCAGGTGATGCCAAGGTGGACCGAGTAACTGTATGGAGCCAGTCGACAAGCTAGGACGCGAGATGCCACATGCTGAGAGAAGCCACAACAACACCAGGCACTGGCCGACGCGCTGCAGATAGTGCGAGCCAGCATGCACATCAGAGCATCCTCCGATGCCGCTGCTCCCTGGACATCTCCCAGGACGATGCATTATGACCAGCCTTTCGAGGACAATCCAGCCAGAGCGACGAGGGCTCTCGAGCACGAACGGCGGGAATCATCGCCAAGTGTTCCTCTTCTGGTCCTCATCCCTCCTCCCCTCTCCTGAGATCCGACGTTGCCCCCCAAAAACAAGATCAAAACAGAAAGCGTAAGCGGAACCCAGAACCCCGTCTTTCTGCGGCACTTCCCAGGCTGGATCGACCTGTGAGGGTCCTGGGGCCCGAATCTGAGCGAGAACGCCTCGTGCGAAAGCGTTGCAGAGCCATGGTCTGAGGGTCCCTGCTGTAGCGCGATCGTTGCAGGCATAAGTGTCAGTGTTGACGCTACCATCACCTCCCCAAAGGCCGTTGCCACTTCTGGGGGGACCGAAAGGTGCCGATACCGCCACTCCCCCGACCTCTCCCGGGGTGCGTTCCGACCAAGATTTCGAGGCGAATCCAGCGGTGGCGACGAGGGCCTCCCGGAAGGCCCAAAAAGGGAAGAGGGGCAAAGGGCAGAGGTATGGGTACCTTTTCCTCCTCTGAACTTCGGGAGGGGGGGCGCTGACACTGCGGGAGAAAATGCAACATCGCAAGACATCACCGCTGGAGCCCAAAAGCCTCTCTGCCTGCTGCATGTTTCGAGCCGGCTCGATCCGTCGTGAGGGCATCTCGGGACACGCAGCCGGGCCCAGAAGCCCGGCTCGACAGACGGAGGCGCCAGGATCTCAGGGGCACAGCAGGGGCTCGACCACAAGAAACCTCCCACGAGAAGCCCAACCCTGCGACCCCAGGACGCCCGTTGTTTTTGTCGGCGTGGGGACGCCACGCTTGCCATCGTAGAGCCCTCGAAACCCAAGAAACCCAGGGCAGCCTGGAGGCAAGCAGGGTGTGTCTTGGCATGGGCCTCCACAGGACCCTGCGGAGCGCCCCGCCACGAGGACGAGATCGGAAACCACAACGAGGTCGACCAGGGCGGCCCCCAGCCGAGGCTGACGAGGTCGACGAGGGCGACGAGTTCGACGGGGGCGACAGGGGCGCCGAGGTCGACGAGGTCGACGAGATGGACGAGGTCGACTGAGCATCGTTTAACCGATCCCTATCCCCACTGGCATGGCTTGGGCCCCACTGGCCGATCTGCCCCCTTGGATGGGGATATGCGCTGTTGCCATGCGGTTTCGAACGGCATATACCCGACTGGGGTGGTGGGATGGTGGAGCTCGGGATGGGGATGGGGACCCATCGCTCGCACGTGCTTTCCCCGTGCTTTCTCGGTCTCGTGGGTGGCTTTTTCTGCTCGATGCTCCAGGATGCTCCTCGATGGCCCTCGCCGAGAACGAGTGCACACGTCCGGGCGGTGCAGAAAGAGGAGAGGGACGGGACTGTGCGAGGGAGGGGCCAGGGGCCGGGGCCGGGGCGGAGCTCCCCAGCCCGACGACCACCGACGAGCCAACCCGTCAGGGAACCAGCCCGCCGACCAGCGCGACGGACGGGCACGACGCAAGCATTCCCTTCCACGCACACTGCCTAAGGCGACTGCCAACACCCTCCTCCTCCTCCTCCCCCTCATCCTCTCTCCTGCCTCCTCGAGGAATAGCTGACAGGCTATTTTACACAGGACGGGTTCGCACAGAGCGCCTCGGAGCGTCCTGTATCGGCGGCACACGCCAGAGGCCTCTACAATAATAACAACAGCCCCATCTCAGGATATGGGAAATCACTTACCATCGCTCGGACGTCGATTCCCTATGCATATCTCGGTTTCGTGCGTGTTTTGTGTACTCGATGATCCAGGATGCTGTCTCTCTTGGGGCCGTCCTCAGGGCTTCTAGGGCCGTCTTGGGCGCCCCTGGGGCCGTCATGGAGGGCTGGTAAGCTGTCCTGAGGCTCTTCTGGGAAACTCGTGGCCCGTCCTGATGCGGTGTTGGAGGCCTCTTGGGTCGTCGTGGATTCTCGGGAACTCGAAAAATGGATAACCCCGAAACCATCATAAAACCCAAGGGGAAAGCATATATGTTGATGTCTCAGGGCACTCGTCTGGAGCCTCGGGCGCCCTCTGGAGCTTGCCTGGGGGCGTCCTGCTGCCCTCTGGAGGCCTCCTGGGAGCCTCCTGGAGCGAAAGATTTGAAATTTCGGTTCATGCTCCCCCTCTTGATCCCATCTTGCGGTCCTCTTCAGGGCTTCTTGGGCCGTCTTGGGCGCCCCTTAGGGCGTCATGGAGCCCTGCTAGGCTGTCCCGAGGCCCTTCTGGGGGCCGCTTGGCTCGTCCTGAGGCTGTGTTGGAAGCCTCTTGGGCCAGCGTGGAGGGTCAGAATGCAGAGAAATGACCGGCCCACTGAAAACCCCAGAGGGAAACCATGGTGTTTGCCTCTCGGGGCACTCCTCTGGGGCCTCGAGCGCCCACTGACGCCTGCCCGGGGACGGCCTGGCGCAGCATGGAGGAAGCCTTCGGAGGCCGTTCAGAAGACACCGTCGGTGCTCCCGGGGGCGCGACGGGCCCACCACAGCGCGGGCCACCTGTGCGTCCGCGGTGCCACCTCGGGAGCCACGAGGGCCCCCCCTGGGGCCCCTGGAGGGGCCGCGGTCCTGGGCCCGCCAAAAGAGTGTGTCGGTGTGCGTGTGTGCGTGTGTGTGTGTGTGTGCGTGAGTGCACCAGCAAGAGGCGATCCACAACGCGTGCAGGATCAAGGGGGGAGTTAGAAAGCTTATGCGGCGAGAAGGGGAACTGTCTCCTCTGATGTCCGAGACGTTTGGGTGGGTGGGCGCTCTGGTATGCAAGTCCAAAACCAGCGTGCTGGCGCGGCCAAGAGAGCTGCTCGCGCCACACTTGTCGACACAAACCCTGTCGCACGCATGCGCACCCCCATTTAGCCGATCTGGGAGAGAGCGTGATCCACCGCCGCTTTACTGTGGAAAATTGCCAACCTTTTCCTCCGGAACCCGGGGGTCGCCCCCCCCCCCCCCCTCCGAAAATCCCCCCCCCCCCCCCCACCCCCCCTTCCCTCCCCGGCAAAAACTCCCCCTCCCCTAACCCCTCCCCCCCCCCCCCCCCCCCTATCGAAAACCGGGGGGGGTCACTACCGGTTCGAACCCCTCCCCCCCCCCTCCGGATCCGGAAAACCGGGGGGGGTCATTACCGGTTCGAACCCCCCCCCCCCCCCCCCTACTCACCGCCAGCAAACGACTCCCGGTCCCCACCACCGTCCGCATCACATCCCCCACTGGTGTTCACCACTGTCCTCACCACTGTCCCCACTGGTTCCACCACCGCCCCTACTGTCCCCACCAGTGGCCCCACCACTGTCGCACTGTCCCCGCTGTCCCCAGAACTGTTCCCACCACGGTTCCACTCTCCCCACTGTCTCCACGGCCCCAACCACTGCCCGACTATCCCCACTGTCCCCACTGTCCCACTGACTCCTCCGCTGTCCCACTGAGCTGTCCCACTGTTCCCACCACTGTCCCCACTGTCCCCACCACTGTCCCCACTGTACCTCTGTCCCATTGTCCCACCGCCGTCCTCGCCACCGCCTTCACCACTGTCCCCACCACCATTGTACCCTCCACTGTCCCACTGTTTCCACCTCATTCCCATTGTCCCCACACCACTGTCCCCACCACCACCGTCACCACCACTGTCCACTGTCCCCCCCTGTTCCCACCATTGTCCCCACCACTGTCCCCACCACTACCGTCCCCACCACTGTCCCACTGTCCCACTGTCCCCACCACTGTCCCGCTATCCCCTCACCACTGTCCCCACCAACACCGTCCCCACCACTGTCCGCACCCCCACTCGGTTTTCGAGGGGGGGGAGGGGGGGGGTTCGAACCGGTAGTGACCCCCCCCGGTTTTCGAGGGGGGGGGGGGGAAGGGGTTCGAACCGGTAGTGACCCCCCCCCCTTTTCATGATGAGCTGGGGGGGGGGGGGGGAGGGGTTCGAACCGGTAGTGACCCCCCCCGGTTTTCTGGAGGGGGGGGGGGGGGAGGGGTTCGAACCGGTAGTGACCCCCCCCGGTTTTCCGCCAGCAGCGGTAGAACACGCTCTTTCCTATCTGGAGAAGACATCGACTGATGTAGGCAAGCGCGGACAACATGTGATCCTGTGTCAGATTGCCCCTGCCATTCTTCCGAGTCCACCTTGTACATGCCGCCAGAGCTCACGTAGGAGTAGTTCTCGGAGGCGGAAAAGAAATTCAATACATTTCGCACGAGATGAGTCCAATATGATTATAAAGTGAACGCCACTATGATGATGGACCGTCACGCTGACGCCATCAGAACTGCACTGCGCACTGACACGTGCCCCCGTCCGCGCCCCGTTTGCACGGCGGTGAACATGGCACGCTGAATCGCCCTGCATTAGGCATCCCCCCCGTCCCTTCTTCACAACACTCCCTCCTCGAAGATATAA